TAGATATTTACTTTCGGCCTGTCTTGAATCGCTCAAGAGTTAATTGTCTGGCCTACTTAAAATATATTGCTGAGAATATATTTTTTGTTTTTCCTTGTGGCCTCTTTCTTTGCTTAGGAGGCTACCTCGTCAGTACATGTTTGTTTTTGTAGTATTGTATATAGTTAGCTTATTGTGTTGAGTGAGTAGCCCCTGATACGCCAAAGTATAAGTTTGTATTTTCTTTTATCTTGCTATCTGCCTCATTTAAATATCTCGAATTGTAATAAACAGGTAAACTGTTGTTTCATCGTTTTTGTTGTGTATAAAACCTGAAAGTGTTCTGATCAACAGCTTTAAAGGGACATCATGTGAAAAGGAGTTTTTTTTTAATGAATGTATGTATTGTATGCACTTCCACTTATGTTACCACGCTATCCCCATATTCATAGTCCGTTCCAAATGTCCAGTTTGACCACTTGAATTGTTTGGGAAAGCCCTGCTAAAAATAGCGCCGATAACGTCACCTGACTAGGCAGCACACACAAGTAGTGCGAGCGAGATGAAACGGTTTCCAAAGGGGCCCCTAGAGAGGGGCTGTCAGGCAACTGCAACTTCTAACCGCACTATGAAACCAAGTTATATGATTTCTAAGTCCGTATTCAAACTTATTGAACAGTAATTATTCATCATTAGAAGTTTATTGCACACTTGCGCATATTCAGAATTTAAATTTATTTAGCTTTAAACATAAATTTGTTGCCAATAAAATTAAACAAGGGATGGGGCACAAGTTTTTACAATTTATCACAGTCTTCTTCCATCATACATTTACAATTAAATGTCAACAATGATAATAGGCATAAACATAAGTAGATATATTTAAATATAATGAATTTAGTACCGGAATGTGGCCGGTACAGATGGTACGGGGCTAAACACCTTCCCTACACCAAGGGACAAACCTTTCTGTTTTTTTTTATATGTTGCCGGGGCAGAGGAGGCCGGGTTTTCATATTAGTACTAATTTAAATCTTGCATGTAAAAACAAAAATAATCGTTTAATTCAGCAATATAATTAAATCATACCATTTTATTGAACCCGGTAATATTATAAATTATGTAAATCCACGGACTTCGATAACACGTATCTCGGTGACCCAGAAAATACGCCGTGGGCCATCACAACAGTTATCCCTTGGAGGGCCTCATGGAAAAATCAAACTAACCAGTCACTTATCCCTTCCTTTCGCATAAACCACTGTATAATTATAGAAACACAAAGTAAACTCTCTCCAATACATGCCCATTAACATATTAAACTAAGTTCATCTGTGTTCAAACTCAGACAAAGATACTAGCGAGCTTAATAGTTTTAGATATTTATTCATAACAGAAACAGCGCTAGCATTTCTGTCGATTCCATTTCAGCTTAACCGGCTATCCGGAAGAATACATGCACCATACTAACTGCTACGGCAGTTATTTTCTCCTTTGAATACTGCCCACCTGCAATAATGATTCCGAAACGTACTCGGGTAACTCCTTGCGCTATCTTTTGACCATTTTGCAACTTTTCGTTTCGTAGCAGACACGGTACAACACTTTTCTTTCGCTTACTTCACACGGCCAGTCATTTTGTTTACAAAGAAATGGTGTGCTATGCGCATGCGCTACTAGAGGGAAATCCCTGAACAAAACGTTGGTCAGACAGGTAGAAATACCGATGATTTTCTTAGATTTAATCATTTTTATGAATCTATTTCAGCCAAATCCGATCGTTATTTTCTGTAAGGAGTCTCACTTGATATGTTTATGTAGCATTTGAAAAAAAGACAAAAAAATAAAGTTACTTCACCGTGATGCCCCTTTAACAGTTATCGCCACATGCAAACAACCGGTTTGACCCTTTATAAATGAACAATTTCGGGTATAAATCCTGGCGGACCTGCAAATGTTTATGCAGGCCTTGCAAGGCTTTGTCAAGGCTCGTCTGAAAGCAGCATCAGATTAATAGGTGTGACCAGTTTGACCGTTTACACGTAAACGGCCCTGGATATTTGAGCAAACATCAGAAAATGTTCTTAATAAAAGTAATTTTTGCAAATATTTCCATATATTGAGTCTCCTTGGCTTAAGAATGTTCTTGACTAGACGAAGTTGTTTACAAGTTTTGATATATGTGATGCCTTTGACCTTGAAAGTAGGTCAAGGTCATTTAATTGGAGAAAGCTTATAGCACTCTGTCCCAGCTACCTATTGGCAAACTGAAATATTCAACTTATGTGACCTTCAACTTATGTCAAGATCATCAAGGCGATGAAACATCTTAGAACTACATCCCAGGTATCTACTGTCTAAATATCATCACCATGGACCTAAAAGTTTTGAAAGGTTGTCACACATTTGACCCCTGTTAATTTGACATTGAAAGAAGGTCAAGGTCATTTATTTGAGTAGACTTTATACCACTTCATCTGAGGTACCTACTGGTCAGATATCATTGCTCTAGGCCTCTTGGTTATTCAGAAGAAGTTGTTCAAAGGTTTTTAACACATTTGACTCTTGTAATCATGAACATAGGTCAAGGTCATTTAAATGAAGACAGTTTATAACACTTCATGCCAGATACCAACTGGCCCAGTATCATCACTCTGGGCCTGCTGGTTATGCAAAAGAAGTTTTTTGAAGGTTTGTACATTTTTGACACCCTGAGACCTTGAAAGTAGGTCAAGGTAATTCATTTGAGGAAACTTTATTGCACTCCATCTCAGGTACCTGGCTAAATATTGTGACCCTAGTTCCTCTAGTTCTTAAGAAGAAGTCATTCAAAGAATTAGTTGACGGACCATGGATGGACGGACAACGGATATCACACCATACCATAAGCTCAACTGGAACTTTGCACCACATGTGCTAATAAAACTGTATACTTCAATTTCCTCAAATACACTATTGCACTACAACATACTAAACTATGATTTGATAATTCTAACAAATTTTAAAGTATATGCTATGATCATGCTTAATACAAAATACTGAATCATGATAATCATAGAATTTGAGAATACAGAATATCATAATCTCACCCAAATCTTGATCCTCTTGCAACTTTTTGACATCAAAACAGAGGAGGTAAACTGCATCCTTGCTGAGGAAGATATGGTGACTGTCGTAGAAGATCTTCTCTCCACCGAAGTCCCACATAGATAAGTAGGCAATGTCTCCTTGCTCTGTTCCCGTCCCTGCTGTCTGGAGTTTACCAGCTTCATCTAGGATGTAGTCCACGTCCCGTTTTACATACTCAGGGATGGATATTTCACCAGTATGTTTACCAACAACATAGTTACTTATGATTGGATGGGTTGTCTCGGAGAAAATGATTGGCTGGTTTATATTGATCTGCTCAATACTATTTTCCAATTCAGTGGCAGGAGTTGGGGTCACTGGAAGAGTGGCTGGCTGCTCAATGGACATTTGTGGAGGAAAATGGGGCACGGAGTCTGTCTCTAAAATATGAAAGCAATCTTTAACGAACTTATGAAGCTTTATACATTATTCAGTGAACTGCATTCTCTTAAAAGAAGTAAATCACACAAGCTGGACCAGCTGATAGCATGAAGGTAGTCCTTTAGGCATTCAGCACGATACCACTTATCGTCCTATCAAGGTTCATTAGTGAAATGCAATTATGTTTACTGCTGTGCCACCCAAACCAACAAAATCTGATCAAAGTGCAAAATCTTGTTTGTATATATTGAGATGAGCATTCAAAGGGAGACAATAAGGTGACAAGCTGCACTTTCACCTAAAGACATTATAATATGAACTTTATTTATTTTACAACAATTATGAAACAAGCAACATAGCTTATATTTTAGCTTGCTGGCATGTATGAAAGAGCGGAGGGGGTGTTAATTTAGAAGGAAACCAGAGTGTCTGAAGAAAACCCACGTGGTAGCCAGGTACCTTTTCACGTCCGATCGGGGAATCAAACCCAGCCACCCTGATGAAAGGAGAGTGTGCTATCCACTGCACCATCCAACCACCCAAAAGACATCGAGGGGGCCATACAAACGGAGACAATACGATAATTTACTGCAGTACTTGCAGAAGACAGGACCATTCATGTCAGACAATGAGACAATACATTGGATTAATTAACTTATATTCGTTGAAGACATCTAGATATACCTACCTTCTGGCTGTTGCTCTTCTTCTTCTGGCATCTCCTCTTCCTCCTCCTCTTCTGTCCTGGGCTTCCCATAAGCAGTTGCACATGCCAATTTCTGCATGGCAATCACATGCTCAGTCACCCCTAGTTTCTTTCTCTTTTTCGTTGCGGTGTTTATTTGGTAGCTGTTGACAAATACATCAATGCCATCTGTTCCGTCAGTGTTTCCAAATTTTTCGTCCTTAAGCATATTACGACAAAGTGACGTCTTACCCACACGATCGTTGCCCACCACCATGAGACGGATATTTGAGGATGGGTAACTTCCCCTGGCAAGAAGTTTCATGTACTTGTCCACCAGCTCCTTCCTCATGCCTTTGATGACTCTGGGTACCACTGTATACAGAAACAGGGAATCATTATGAGTATACATAGACAGTGTCGCGTCTGTGACCGTGGATATCACTATATCATTGCACTGTCCCTCTTTTGTCAAAAATTGAATAAGAAACAAAGGATTTATGCAAAAAGTCTACAGTTTTTTTAATTATCTACTTCAAGATCAAAATTTTAACCATTCCCTAACTACATTATTATATTCATGGATCTTTTTCCGATGGAAAACAAGAGGCCCAATGGGCCTGCATTGCTCACTTGGTATACATCTCACACTATTAACCTTAAAAGTGATCTAAAATAAAGCTACAGGCAAAATATCAGTATTTATGATTAAAATTCATTCAAAAGAACCTGTTTAAAGATTTTAAAACATTTCAACCCAGTGACCTCAAAAGTCGAACAAGTTCATTATGTTGAACAGATTTTATAGCCTTCATCTCAGGATGCAACTTGTAAACTATCACCACCCTTTCCTTTTGTTTATTGAAATTGGGTTATTTATATGTTCATACATATTTGACCAAATTTGACCTTGAAAGTGGGTCAAGGTCATGAAAATGAAAAAGCCTGATGGCTGCATATCAACATTCTGGGCCTCATGGTTATTCAGAAGAAGTTGTTTAAAGATTTAAAATAAATTTGACCCCTGTGACCTTGAATTTAAGTCAAAATCATTCACTTAATCAAACACGGTAGCCCTTGATCCAAGCATGCTACTGACCAGATATCAACATCCTAAGCCTAATGGTTATTAAGAAGAAGTTGTTTAAAGATTTTGAACATATTTGACTTGGTAGCCCTTAATCTTAATCTGCAACTGACCAAAATTCAACATCCTGGGCATTTTGGTTATTCAGAAGAAGTTATTTAAAGTTTGTTTTTTAGACAATGGACCCCTGTGTCCATGAATATGAGTGAAGGTCATTCATTTGAACAAACTTGGTAGCCCTTCACCCCAGCATGCTACTGGCCAAATAATACCTCCCCTGGGCATTTTGGTTATTGAGAAGAAGTTGTATAAAGATTTCGAACATATTTGTTCCTTGTGACCTTGCATATAATTCAAGGTTGTACAAACTTGGTAGCCTTTCATCCTAGTCTGCTACTTACCAAATATCAACATCCTGGGCATTTTGGTTATAAAGAAGAAGTTGTTTAAAGTTTTTTTTTAGACAATTGACCCCTGTGACCTTGAATACGAGTGAAGGTAATTCATTTGAACAAACTTTATAGCCCTTCATCCTAGCATACTACTGAACAAATATCACCATACTGGTCCTTTTGTTTTTTCATCAGAAGTTGTTTAAAGGTTTTTTTATGACAACTGACCCCTGTGACCTTTAAATACGAGTGAACGTAATTCATTTGAACACACTTGGTTGCCCTTTACCCCAGCATGCTACTGGCTAAATATTATCTCCCTAGGCATTTTTGTTATTCAGAAGAAGCTGTTTAAAGTTTTTAACATATTTGACCCCTGTGACCTTTGATATGTGCAAAGGTCATTCATTTGCACAAACTTTGTAGCCCTTCATCTCAAAATGCTACTGGCCAAATATCATCATCTTAGGCCTTTTGGTTATTTAGAAGAAGTTATTGAAAGTTTTCAACATATTTGACTCCTGTGACCTTGAGTATGACTGAAGGTCATTTATTTGAACAAACTTTGTAGCCCTTCTTCCTAGCATACTACTGAACAAATATCACCATACTGGTCCTTTTGTTTATTCATCAGAAGTTGTTTAAAGGTTTTTTTTATGACAATTGAATCCTGTGACCTTTAAATACGAGTGAAGGCAATTCATTTGAACACACTTGGTTGCCCTTTACCCCAGCATGCTACTGGCCAAATATTATCTCCCTAGGCATTTTGGTTATTCAGAAGAAGCTGTTTAAAGTTTTTAACATATTTGACCTCCTTGACCTTTAATATGTGTAAAGGTCATTCATTTGAGAAAACTTGGTAGCCCTTCTCCCCAGCATGATACTGGCCAAATATCATCATCCTGGGCATTTAGGTTATTCAGAAGAAGTTGTTGAACGTTTTTAACATATTTGAACCCTATGACCTTGAAAATGGGTGAAGGTCAATTATTTAAACAAACTTGGTAGTCTTAATCCTAGTTTGCTTCTTGCTAAATATCATAACCCTAGCCGTTTTTGTTATTTAGAAGAAGTTGTTTTAAGTAAAATATTGACGCCAGACGGACGGACGACAGGCGCTGCACCACAGCATAAGCTTACTTGGCCCTTTGGGCCAGGTGAGGTTATTAAATTATAAAACACCTAGCTACCGAGTATATAACATGCATTAACAAGGCCACACCTTTTATTCCTCTGTATGAAAATACATACATATACATGAGTACATAGCTATATATCTTTTGTTAATAAGGGAGGGTTGACAGCTTGCTATAGGTTCACACGAGGGAGGGTTGACAGCTTGCTATAGGTTCATGCAAAGGAGAGTTGACAGCTATGCTATAGATTCACACGAGGGAGGATTGACAGCTATGCTATAGGTTCATGCAAAGGAGAGTTGACAGCTATGCTATAGGTTCACACGAGGGAGGGTTGACAGCTTGCTATAGGTTCATGCATAGGAGAGTTGACAGCTATGCTATAGATTCACACTAGGGAGGATTGACAGCTATGCTATAGGTTCACACGAAGGAGGGTTGACAGCTATGCTATAGATTCACACGAGGGAGGGTTGACAGCTATGCTATAGGTTCACATGAGGGAGGGTTGACAGCTATGCTATAGATTTACAGGAGGGAGGGTTGACAGCTATGCTATAGATTCACACGAGAGAGGGTTGACAGCTATGCTATAGATTCACACGAGAGAGGGTTGAAAGCTATGCTATAGGTTCACACGAAGGAGGGTTGACAGCTATGCTATAGATTCACACGAGAGAGGGTTGACAGCTATGCTATAGATTCGCACGAGGGAGGGTTGACAGCTATGCTATAGATTCACACGAGGGAGGGTAGACAGCTATGCTACAGATTCACAGGAGGGAGGGTAGACAGCTATGCTATAGGTTCACAGGAGGGAGGGTTGACAGTTATGCTATAGGTTCACAGGAGTGAGGGATGACAGCTAGGCTATAGATTTACACGAGGGAGGGTTGACAGCTATGCGATAGGTTCACACGAAGGAGGGTTGACAGCTATTCTATAGATTCACACGAGGGAGGGTAGACAGCTATGCTATAGGATCACATAAGGGAGGGTTAACAGCTATGCTATAGATTCACACGAGGGAGGGTTGACAGCTATGCTATAGGTTCACATAAGGGAGGGTTGACAGCTATGCTATAGATTCACACAAGGGAGGGTTGACAGCTATGCTAAAGGTTCACAGGAGGGAGGGTTAACAGCTATGCTATGGGTTCACACGAATTATAACAAAGTCTAGAAAAAGTGAAATCAACAACATACCTGCTCGTTTTACTTTTGTACTTTCTCGACTGTTCACCTTTTGCAACCTCATGGTACTCAAATACACTCTGAACCTGTTAAAAAAATGTCAACAAAGTTCACTTTATTAGTAAAGAGTTGAATTAAGCAAGTCAAACTAGTAACTATACATATATTATATTATCAGTGTGAAAAAATCAGGGACTGTATTCATGAAACCATTCTCATGCTCAAGTATTCATTTTGTACTCAAGCCAAATTTCTTGTTCCGTTTATCAATTAATATTAAAATCTTATTTTGTCAATGATTTGGGGGAAAAAATGAAGAGACTTACAGCAGAATACTGTTTTCAATGTTGACATTTCACCTTTTGATTGTCTGACAAGATTTGAGTGAGTTACAAGAAATTAGGTTTGAGCACAAAATCCAAGCATTAGAACAGCTTCATGAATATGGGCCCTAACTTGAAAAAGACTTGCATCATATGTATTCTGCAATTAGCCCCCGGGGGCCATCGCATATAGTAGGACTCAAAACAGGGTAGGGGTAGGCAATAGCTACGGATTGGACTGGATTATTCACCAGACAAGGGTTTATTGCCTGATGAATATGGTATACAAACTTTCCACAATTCTTATGTTCAGATTCAAAGAATGCAATATTACTTCAGATGCCGGTATTACATATACATGTATAGGGTATATTATTCTAATGATACAAAATCTAGAGTGTATAACCATCATATACCAATTAAAATTTTGCTGATGATATCATGTGTGGTTAGTTATCTGCAGGGACAATATTTTCCCTAATTCACCTGGATATACATGTAATATTACTATGTAATAATACAAGCATGTAAATTATTACTTGCATTATAAATTGCAATGCAGCCCACTATTATAATTAATTTAATACAGGTATCATACTAAGCAACAAATTTGTACAAATGTATGTAGACTATTGCAAACAATGCCAAAGGTTGAAAGTGTAATTTTTGAAATATATTTCATGCTTTACGAGATGTAAATTAAAACAGTTCATCGGGTGGGAACAGACAATCAATGGATGTACTCCTGTCATAACTGTCTACTGTTTTTGCTTTTGTTTAAATGAACATCAGGACAAGTGAACTAGTATAAAAATATTACTTGGACAAACCTTTTGGACAGATTGAATTCGGACAGAAGGACAGACCCGATGTGCGAACAACCCCCCCCCCCCCCCCCCCCCCCCCCCCGGAGACTGATGACTGATGGGGGTCTCATATAATAACTGAGTGTAGAACAAAAATGTTCTGCCTTTTCAAAAACAACATCTTACCATATGTCATTGATCTTGACATTTTTGCAACCTTTTTTTCTGTTTTTCTTTTTTTCCTCCTCAAGAATGATTGTATTGGCTTCTGAGAATGTAATCCACTTATCCTGCTTTTTATCATACCAACACCACTCAACATCTTCCTGTGTGTAAACTATATCTTCCTTAGCGTCAGAGGTCACCTCTTCTGAAAAAGAAAGAAAAAAATTCTTTTAGAATTTCAACGTGAGGCCCAGGGGCCTTAAAAGCTCACCTGGTATTACATTTTCAATTTAAAACCTGCTTTATAAGTACCATTCCAGTTTATGATGGAGTACAAGAAATACAAGTTGCAAGAAGGACTAAATCTGTTTAGGTGGGCTAGACACTAAGAGCATGAGTGTATTCTTCATGTCCAGCAATTTTGTAATTGGTTATGGCGTGGGGATCTCAACTATTTCCATGTTATGACCCAGGGAGGTAGTCTCCATGGTATCGGTCTGGATCTCCGGGCCAATCCTGGTAGCATGAATGTATTCTTCTCTTCATGCCTAGCAATAGTATATTTGTTTATGGGGTGTGGAACAATCCCTTTATTCATACAGAAGGTGAAGGATTTTAATGATTTACATCTATTTCCCCCATTGGGCCAAATCCTTCTGACCCCTCAGGGGGGTAGGTACTCTGTTTAATCAAAATTGAATCTTCTTCACCCAAAATATACTAGAACAAGTTTGGTTTAAATACACTGTATATTGAAAATGCAATACAATACTCATTGGTTAAAATACATTGTACATTGAAAATGTAATACAATACACATAATATTATGACATGAAACATTCCTAGGCCCCAAATCTGTACAGGAAATGACAATTAAGCATCTTCTGACAACAAACAGTCTCAAATATTTTCCTTTAATTCCGCAGCTGATTGGCCCAACGCCTCTGCCCCAAAGGCAGGCCACTTCCATCGTTTATACAAAATTTGAAAAGAAGGCGAAACATTTCTCAGGTGAGCTAATAAAAACATTAAACTGTATTGTCAGAGTTGGACAAACTACACATTTATATACATACATCTAACAGACTTACCTATTGTGTCCCCGTTTCCTTTTAATGAGGCATGATCAATCGACAAGTCTCTCTGATCACTTAGTGACTTTGGCCCATCGCTGTGTGCCTGGTTTGTTTGTGGCCCCCTGGTACTGGTATCTTGAACTGGTTGACAAGTTGTCGACATTGGTGTGGTGTTTGGTGGAAGGACGTGTTTCCTTTCTGGCCCGGGTCCAGGGTCGTCTGTTACAGGCACATCACTTATGGGTGTGGTCGCTGTGGTGTAAGACGGTGCTGCAGGACCACGTGCACCTGTTACAGGCCCATCACTTATGGGTGTGGTCACTGTGGTGTTAGACGGTGCTGTACGACCACGTGCACCTGTTTCAGGCACATCATTTACGGGTGTGGTGTGGGACGGTTTGTTTTGTAGACTAGTGGCGGAGGTCACAACCTGTGACTTTGGTGGCAAGACTGTATTTTCTGAGTTAAATGGTTTGGATTGAGCTCCAAATTCATTTTGACTATCAGAGGGCTCCCTGCAAAAACACAACATATCAACATATGCAGAATAATTGACACTCAATAGTATGTTATCTCAATATGGTTTCCAGGTCTCACAGTGTCATCGATATAAGTGTACATTTGTACATGTAGTCATGTAAGGAATGTTGGTCCTTGTTACTGCTGAGATCATATGGAGATAGTATTCAAAGAAGATTGGGCAATACAACAACTGCTTTGAAATGTAATCTCAAAGCAATGTCATAAGCTGGTCACGGTGGTATGATAGGCCACCTGCAGGCTACATAACTCTAAAAACAGACTATCCACATGTGCCTAGGGATAAACCACTGAAAAGTAACAGGAAGGCAGGAAAGAAAAGGAAAGACGAAGGTCCAAATTGTTGCAATAGTGAGAGCTGGTCAGTTTGGGTCTCTTCTACATACTTGAAAGAAGTACCTGGTAGGTGTAAAAGAAAAATCTCAATTCTAAAGAAGTTCCATCTTAATCAACTCTAATGGCCATGCAATGGGAAACAATCTATTAGGTGAATTCCTTCTACCAACAATGACCATATACTAGGTCACAGTCATTTAAGAGAGGTATGTTCCTTTTGTGTACAGCAAGCAATACAATACTCATAATATTATGACATGAAACATTCCTAGGCCCCAAATCTGTACAGGAAATGACAATTAAGCATCTTCTGACAACAAACAGTCTCAAGGCCCTAAATCTGTACTAGAAATGACACTAAACTAAATTATCTTCTGACTACAAATGTTCTCAAGGCCCCAAATATGTACAGAAAATGACACCAAAGCTTTTCTGACAATTAACTTTTTACATGTCCCATAACAATGCAAGAAATGACAAAATGATGGTATCTTCTGATAACAAATGTCCCCCTTGGTCCCAAATCTATACAGGAAAACATACAAATGAAATCTGATATAAAAATTCTCTCAACACCAGATTTGTATTTGAAATACAACAACTCACCATATTCTGACATCAAACATACCCTCGGCCCCAAATCGGTACCAATTGCAATGACCATTTGGCCACCGTACCTAGAACAAAAACATCAGTGTTATAAGGTCTGCAGTCTTTTTATATTGGAAGAAAACAGTTCATACAGTGTATTCATTCCAAAATATCTTCTCACAATTGAAATGATTTAGTCCTTTACTACAATAGTACTGTATACTGGGAAACTGTTCGCTACAGTTTAATTTTCGCCTTTCCTCACCTCCGTAATGAGGACAAATTTATCATAACAGCAAATATTAGTAAACAACATGATACAAACAGTTATTAAATGTGAGGGCCTTTTTGCACAGTCAGTGAATATTCATTTTATTGGCTAATGGCAAAATGTTTGACTTGGCGAAAGTTTGACTGGGCGAAAGTTTGACGGAACCATTTCCTTTTTCATCTTTCTCCTGTTCACCGAGTAGGTAAGAGATTATTTCACTAGAACTATAAATAAAATATACATTAAATACCTTTTACTTAACATTGTGTACATTGTAGACAACAAACATAAACTCTGAAGAGTGTTAATTATGACACTGCATGCTTAAGGACAAATGTTTGTTTTCCATGGTGGAGGAAGCCTATTGAGGAAAATGATTTGACGAATTTTTCTACAATATGATGAAATCTTAAACTCAAATTTGATTGCACACTGTAATGACTTTTTTCTTCATCGATCATGTTTACAAAGGAACACATACAATATCTCAGGTAAAGATTCCTTTCTTATTTTTCCTTAACGTTGAGTCGGAGAAATTATCTATTTATGCTCACATGTACTAGTCCGTTCTGCTGCACATCATACACAACCCCAACGTTTTCTGGTCCTCCGTCCTGGAACCCCCACTGCCAGTCATCACCGCGACATACCAGACAGCCCGGCGCAATCAGATCGTCATCCATTAGAAGTCGTTGTACATGGCTAATTACTATTTGCTTCTTTCCTTCTTGATAGCTGTACTCTCCTCTAACCCTTGTCAGATCCCACTCCACGGTCACAGAGCCTGCAGAGAATACAAATTCAGAGGTCTGTCTGGAACACATCATAAAGGTCAAAGGTCTCATTCCAGATACAATTTTAGAGGTTAGACAAGAACTAGTCATGAAGGTTAAAGGATATTTGGCTGATATGAATAAAACCTGTAGACAAAAAATAAGGTCTCAGTCCAATCAGAGGTCAGTCAGGACAAAGTCACAAAGGTTCGTCAAAATGTATGTTTTTCATTTGGATATTATCCTGCATACAAAGATCAAAGGTTTCAGACCAAATAAAAAGATCTTAGGTCAAATGAGAACGAGATGCCAAAGTTGAAGGTTTTCCATTTGGATGTAACTTTCAACCAAAGGTCAAGGGTCAGATAGAATCTGTTTATGACAGTACAGCCTTAAGCTGGTACAAAGTCAATTTCACCTCCTACCTTGTTTGCGTGAATGTTGGACAATTGTACCAGGCCCTTCCCCATCTTCAATGTTATTGGTCCAGTGTGGTCCCCTTACCACCCGTGTGCCCAGGGCGGGCGCTGAACCATCTAAGTACTCCCTGTCCTCCTCCACGGGATCAGTCAGCTTATACTGCAGCATTGCCATCATGTCATCCTGAAATATCATATATATTTTAACGTCATCGTGAGATATCAATTTTTCTATCAAGTCACCTTGAAATATCACCACTTATCATTACATCATTCTAACACATATCCCATACATTTTCATGTTATCCTAAAATATCACATATGTTTTCATATCGTCCTTAAATATCACATATGTTTTCATGTCATCCTAAACTATCACATTTACCATCATGTCCTCTTGAAATATCCGCTTATCACTTTTTGGGTTACATGTTTTAACATGACTCAAGTTTTATAACACTGATCTCTAAGCTTGCCTATCCTGATAAATACTAGTAGCCAGGTACTAATTGTCAGCATCGTCCATTGCGTCCAGAGATGATGGAGCTTGAATCACTGTCCCTAACTAACGGATACACAGACAAAAAACAGCTAGAACCAAAGGCTTCAACTATACTTTTGGCAGGGGCTAAATAAACGTGAGCAGTTTTGGTTGAAATCTTTCAACTCCATACAACTGTAAATTCACTACAGTTGAAATCAGTTGCTTCACCTAGAATCTTTTAATTAACCATAATACTTTGATTAAAACAAAACTTGCTACTCTTTTCAAAGCTGACACCACTAAATTTACAATGTCAGAGCATGTCCCTTATATACCAGCGGAAAAAAGCAACTGTGTATGCCTAAAATTTGTTATAAAAATAAATGTGTATGACGTATAGAACAACAAGGTTTTCAGCGACAATTTATTTGTTATTTATTAACAGTTGCATTCCATTTTCCACGTTATGGATTCAATAAGTTCCGCTCAGGAGGGACATAAACACAGCAGGGGTCAATACTCAGTTCACAAAGTTAATATCTTGTATGTCCACCGTTTGCCTGAATGCAAGCCTGGCAACGTCGACGCATGTAGCCTATCAGACGGTTCAAGAATGCTTGTGGGATGGCATTCCAGATCTGTACCAACACTGCAGCCAAATCAGCCAACGTCACCGGTTGATCAGGTAATGCCCGTAATCTGCGCTTCATTTCATCCCAGACGTGTTCAATGGGCGACAGATCGGGGGATACAGCAGGCCAGGGCAACACGTCAACGTTCTGCTGGGCCAGAAAGTCCTTAGCGACACGAGCTGTGTAAGGCCTGGCGTTGTCCTGCTGTAGCGTAATGTGACTTTGCTGCCCTTGCACAAATGGAACAACGTGGGTCCGGAGGATCTCATCACGGTAATGCAGCGCATTCAAATCCCGTTAACAACCACCAGAGGCGTTCTCCTGTTTGCTGTGATGCCGCCCCAAATCATAACTCTGCCTCCGCCGAAAGAACGTCGTTGTACCACACACGTGTCACGGAAATGTTCTTCAACGCAACGATAAACTCTGGAACGATCGTCACTACTATCCAGGTGGACTCAGGACTCTTCCGTAAACAAAATGCCTGCCCAATCCCGTCAAGTAAATCGCAGATGCCTTCTGCACCAGTCCAGATGTGCTACACGATGACGTGGTAGAAGAACTGGGCAGATTTTAGGACGTCGTGGACGGATATCTTGTTCACGCAATCGGTTCCGTACAGTTCTCGGAATTATTGGTAGCAACCCAGGAATTGTCTGTGCAGTCAAACTTGCCGTTAGGAAGCGATTTCTCAAATGGACGAGCCGAATATGTGTTTCGATGGACATGAAAACATGCAGAGACAACGGCTTGGCCCATACCAGCTTGAAGCATACCAATAATCCGGAGGCGGTCATTTTCATTGAGCCTCGGCATAGCATTAATCACAAATTAAAACGTTTTAATGCTGTTTTTACTGTTCACTGGTCTCAACAGAGTGACCAGACAGTTGAAAAATAAACTTTCATTGTTGAATTGGATGGCTGAACGAGAAAAACGTGCAAACTGGTCAACGCCTATAGAGAGCAAACTGCACGGGAAAAACTGTCAATGACACACGGATAGTGTGTATGTGTCATACTCGGTCATGTGTGTGAAATTTCATGTATATACAGTTGGTAATACATGTTCTTTAACAATTCTCTGCATGCACAGTTTCTTTTTTCCGCTAATATATATACAAAATTCTGTATATGGCATCTAAGGCAATAGATTCCACTGAACAAGTACTCACTATATCAGTCTGTTCGACATCACTTTCATAACTTTTCACGACACTCTCCAAATTTTCCCTGTCCTTCCAACTCAGGGGAAAGTTCCTACGCATGCGAGTCACTGCAGCCTGCCAAAAACAAAACAGAAACTATCGTTGAAGCATTAAATGAGTGAGTCCACAGCATGATATCACAACAAAATGTCTCCTAAACCTATACACAGCAAATTCTGTGTAAAAAATCTAAGATATCACAACAAAATGTTTCCTAAACCTATACACAGCAAATTCTGTGTATAAAATCTACGATATCATAACAAAATGTCTCCTAAACCTATACACAGCAAATTCTGTGTATATAATCAATTTCATTGTTTGATAATTTTCTATCAATAGCTACAGCAACTTTGATCTGGCTACTTATAAATAGTTTCGACCCTGGTGTTGACGTTGGAACCCTAAAATATGAACTCACTAAAGATTTTATTTTTTTATTTATTTTTTTAAACTGTGGTGCAAAACTGTTAAGATATGAAGTCAGTGGGGACCAGGGAATTAGATTATTGCTATCTAAGTCTGCGGTGGAGACAAAACAACGAATCTAGAAAAGGAACAGGATGGGCATGTGTTACCTGTGTTACACTATATGCCCAATAAAGGGGGACATGATTGACAGGTGGTCGTTATGGACAGGTTGTTACTATATAGAGTAAACACCATGTGGTACATGTATTCTTATAAAGATAATTGTTATAGACATATGATTTAAAATATGTATATATATTTACTTTCAGTCAATTGTGACGCCTTACCATGTTCTTGAAGTGTCGACCAAGCTTTTTCACACTTCCCGCGTCATAACCGATCACACTGCCGTCTGTCACCTGCGCAATCTTCGCTAAAATGTCCTAAAACAAAATTTGAAAGATGGTTTTTTCATCTGTTTACAAATAAATTGAATTTGAATGGTATGGAAGCTTTATACACCAATAACTTTCTTTTTTAAATTAAGAGTGTTGATTTCCAATTTTGACTTTTTTCTGTCTTATCCCCAAGGTGGGGAAATATCCTCTTAGTCCCCAACACATATAGGTACAAGAGAGTGTAGATAAATGCTATGGTGATGTACTGTTCATTGCTGTTTTACAGGGTCAATACAGGTGGAAGGACGCACTCCAATGATGGCTGGCCTCTTCATGGCGTTGTCAGCCATTAATGGGCGTGGTAAGTACTCACAGCTCCACCCCACCAGTGAGGAATAACAAATTATTTACCATTAGGTAAAAAAAGTCACTATATTTATCTGCCAGCAAGCCCATGTACCTATTGTAGTTGTAGTAGAAATGCCAACAAATGATATTTCATTGTCCTCATATAAGCTCATCCTAACTCCACCTTCCCAAACTTTGACTCAGAGATTAAGTGTTGGCCCCTGGCCTGGGCTTACTGCAGGGTAAATATGGTATATAATATTAATAATATACCACTACTTCAGTTTACACTGTAGTGTTATTGCAAAGCCCTGTTTGCACATTTGAAGTGACATCACATGGCAGCAAGTGGCTATACCTTTTTGAATTAATATCGAATATGCTCCAAGTTTTCTTATATTTAACATTATTTGATGCTTCACCTCCAATTTAAACCAAAATTATGATTTTTTTATCTTGTTGAACTCGAACCCCAATGAGATAACCAATATTTTTTGGATGATGAATACTTACTGGGTTTTCGACATCACCAACATTTACGCAGTGGATAGAGTGATGCTCCGTCCCAAGTCTGGCAGCCAGTTGGAATATCTCATCGTCAATCTAAAAATAAACCAATAATTCATCACCAATCAATATCATTCACAAAAGCGAAGTACGAGAAAAAATATTGATATATTCTGACGTACAAGTGAAATACATGTGATACTCAAAGGGAAACCATTATATAAGAAATATCCTGACATCACTAGTGTAACGCAGGGTGATACACAAGTTTGAAAAAAAAAATGCATCAAAACAGTGTTCTCATCTAAAGCTGGTTATCAGCAAATGTAGCTATGTTATTCTGAATGCATATAGGTCAAAATTATAGCATGTGAACATTCAACCGGCTATTCTTTCAAGTCAGCAACCTTTTTCAATACTTAATAATTAAAAAACATTGCCAAATAGCCTCAAATCGTCATTTCTTTCGGTGGTTTTAACTGGATTTTGGGATTTGCATTGGTAACTGCTTCACGTCATAAAACTCAATTCGCAATGAATGATCACAATACACCTCTACAAATCTCAAAATACAGTAGGGTTATCAGGTGTTAGGGTCAGCTTAGAATTGAGGTGGCTAGCATACCTCTTGCTGATCATACATGCTGCTTTCTTGTCCTGTTGTCGACTCAGAGTCTGTAAACTTTGCGTCTGTCAATACGATAATTCTGGGGTGGACATGGACGCCATTCATCACTGTGATTGAGCCTATGAACAACAGCAGACAAGTCACTTTTCAGCCTCCAAACATCACATACCAAATGAATGAACAAATGCACATGACAAAACTGAAAGTTGGAATAAGAAATGGCAAACAAATATTGAAGACTTCTTCCACTGATCAGATCACATATCAAACAGACAAGTCACAAGTTTAAATGAAGTCATCATACCAACATGTATGAGTTGCTGGAGATTTTCTGAAAATTTTACATTGACATTTAGATTTTCAAAAGAAACCGAATAGCGTAAGATTTTCCTGATATATAGATATGACATTGCTTGAGATTTACTTTAAATGTTACAGATTTGTTACGATGCCAGAGTTTTCTTTCAACCTGAAAGACTTCTGGTAAATAATGTGTTATTCCTCACTGGTGGAGTGGAGCTGTGAGTACTTACCACGCCCATTAATGGCTGACAACGCCATGAAGAGGCCAGCCATCATTGGAGTGCGTCCTTCCACCTGTATTGACCCTGTAAAACAGCAATGAACAGTACATCACCATAGCGTTTATCTACACTCTCTTGTACCTGTTTGTGTGGTGGATTAAGAGGATCTTTCCCCACCTTGGGGATAAGACAGAAAAATCTCAACCCAAGGGTTAAGATTCTTAATTTGCCAAGGGCTAGACATTTAAAATCTTACCCAGAGAGTTGAGATTTTTCTGTCCTATTCCTAAAGTGGGGAATGATTATTTTTCTCCGACATCAAATATAAGCGGGGATTTCATGAAATGCAAACATTGATTTCATAAGTACCAGCAAAACTTCCGGGCTTATAATATATATAGTGCTATTGTTGACGTGACATCGTTGGATTGTTGACGTGACATCATTGGATTGTTGGAGTGATGTAAATACTTTGTTCACTTGGCATGATGCAATTGTTAATACAGTCTTTAAATTTCCCTAGGGTAAGACAAAAATAACTTTCCCTGACCAGAAGTGAGGTTATCTTTGTCCAATGGGACAGAAGAGGATATCTAACACCATGAAAAGTGTGATAAAACCTGTCCTTCGTGTGGGGGTAGGAAAACAAAATTGCCCAAAATACATGCAAAAGAGCCTATCTTGTCTGTTTATATAGGTAAATGAAAATAGAAATAATGAGCAACAACTATTTTCATTTGCTCTGCTTTCCCTGATGAGCACTGTTGAATACCACTAAGGTATCAACCCCAGGACCCCTACCACATATATGGAACTGACTTCCTTGCAGGAATGTTGGGTCTATACACCCCCTGGTGTTTATATAGGTGATTAAAAGAAAGAAAAAGAAAGAAAACAATCTCCAATGTAAGGGCTTGTCTAGCTCTGCCTTTGTATCATGTTTTATAATCAAATGGTATCACATTGGAGCAAAAAAAAATGTTGGTGCAGAAACAATTTTTACATAATATTTTCATCTGTAAATCTGATAAATCAAGGCATATTATCTATAAATATGTCATCTCTGATACTCAAGGGGTTATGCTCACTTATGCTCTCTGCAACCCTGGAATATGTCATTGCAAAATTGAAGGCACATGGCTAGCTATTTGATTGGTCTCATGTAAAAGAACCTGACCAATCGCTTGGCCGATACCTGTCCTTTGAAGATTATATAGGATTGACACCCAACTTCAAAGGCAGTCAATTTTACCGCTAAGCGACAGTGAGATTCTTTTTATGCACATCAAAGGATTAAACTCATCTGCTAGTTTCATCGACAAGCTTAAGGTAGCACACACTGAGCCTTTGATTTTATCTTGACATAGATTTCAGTGGTGCAGAGAGTGTAAGTGAGAGTAATCCCTGAAGTAATGAGGATGCCTTCAAGTAGGTGTGCAGGGATATCAAAAGTCAACCCTCAGAGTAGGCATACCAAGCTTAGTCCTCAGCGCTCTGTAATCAGAGGTCAGGTGGTGCAGCACTTCTGTCTTATGTCCGACCGTCACCAAGGCAACGTTTTCACTTAGACGATGCCGACTATTAATATTCTCAATCACTGGAATCAAAGACAATAAAATAATTATTTTAATTTATATTAAAACTGGTGTTATGACATATTCTGCTGATGACAATTTTCTCTTTATTCTCAAGTAGATCACTAGTTTATTGTATGTTAAGTTTAATTGTTGCAGACATTTTCTTTTCACCATTACCGCATGATAAGGTGAATTTTAAATTTTCAGTACCTTGTTCATCTTCTTAAAATTAATAAATCAAAGATTTTAATAGGCTTGGGTTGCATCATTAATTCAAAAGCTTGATTTGAATTTATATTAATGAAAAATATACATTTTCATATTTTAAATAACCTTTTAAACACATTAATTATAATTCTAGATTATTAAATATTTACATTTGTAACTATACAATGACAGATCCGGTTTTTATGGAAATCTTAAAAGAAATATATTGTACTTACTGTCTAGAAAAGTCAGTATAAAATTAGTTGCCTTTTCAAATGGCTCCCCTAGCATGCTTGCTGAGATGTCAATCACAAAAATTGTATCGATTCCTCTCCCCCTGGGGAGAGCCATGGTGCGGGCTGGAACAGAAATACATAGTAATTAGGCTAATGCCCGCATCGAATGTGTACACAAATTTAATGTATTGTCTGTGACCAGACGACGTCGGGGGTTATGCCCTCCAGTCAACTTACCTGTAACAAGTTGGTGTTTGTTGCCAAACTAGCAGTCATTACCACAAATTACCGACTTTTATCATTTTAGTGTAAGTAAAAATTGTGTCACCAAAAAATGTCGCAAAACTGAATTTGTTTACCACCAAATCTGAAAAATTGTGTTGCCATTTGGCGACCTGGCGATCATTAATGCAAGCCCTGAGAATGACTCAATTGTAAATGAAATACAACACATTGGAAAAGAGTATATTTGTGAAGAAGTTTCAGAAATTGTAATACAAGGCATATGAAAGGTATGTCAGCAAATATGGATAAGGTGGGTAACACTTCCAAAAAGTGCAAAGCATCACACACAATCAATTGTTTCTTATAACCTCTGGATAAACTCTGGTATCAAAGGGCCGTAACTCTGTATTTAGTGGAGCACAAGATTTCAGCATGTGACACGTGCACTCTAACATCTGAAAAGGTGTTCACTTTCACAATTTGGCAATTGTCAATAAAAATGTATGCGTGTATGAGATATGCCCTGGACAATTTGATACATGGACAGGTGGATCGAGTGCAAACCTATCGTCCCCTCTAGAAGGACTGATGGGGAATAAAAGTAATTATACGATAGCTGTGCAACAGTAGCTTAACACTGACAGAAGTATTTCCATAGCTAAGCTGTTAACATATACAGTACATGTGATGAAGAGACATATTCTGCAAAGCATGTTGTGCTTGTTTATATGTCTACTAGCCATCATCATCATCATCATCATCATCAGATATTAAATAATGAAACTTAATCAGTACATTTACAAAGTTGTTAGTTGCATAAAGGAGCTCACATTTGAAAAGGGGGAAAACTATACTCCAATTTACTAATATAGAGCACTATAAATTATAGAAGGTGTTATTTACATGAGGTACAATACTGTCATCTGCCTTTTACTGGTGCAAATTAAATAAAAGTAAGAAGAATGCTTTCTTAGATAATCTTAAATTTGCTTCAATATTTTTGGTCAAATCATAAAAATGTAGCATCTACAAAACACTGAAAAGTGTCTCCTTATATTTTGAGAGAAACAAATAAGAATAAAGAAAATGTTTTAAATAACAGTAAATATTCCTGTATCTGTGATAAATATATAGTCGCTAACCATTCCTTTATTATCTGATTTGCATTTAACTCTGTATATTCATTTAAAATCCTAAGAAGAAAAAAAATGTCACGAGGGAAAGTACATAATTATGGCGAAGGCTAAAATGTTTTAACTCTTGTAAAGCACAAATGACCGATTCTTTTTTTGAAAGTTAAAAGCTTGAAAAGTTATTTATAAAATGCTGAAAATAAAAGAAAAGGGAAACTAAAGATATATATAATTTTTGCTTTAAGGCCCAAAAACTGTCACTAGTGTTCAATTTTGAGTATCTCGGATGATACATTTTATGGCTGGGCTGTCAGATGTACATACATATTTCATTATAATCTGCATACTGTGACGTTTTTACTTTTTTTTTTATCTAGATCTCACTTGATGTAATTTATCGAGATATTGCAAAGGGTGGGCCAGATACAGCTCCCTATAGAGTACCATTCTCATAGCAACAAGTTTTATGAACATTCTTTAATTAGGGAAATTCCTTAACTTAAAATGGTCTTATATATAGAAAAGCATTACAAAATTTAAGGAAAATTTCTTTAAATAGATTTTTCTTCAACTCCAATAATGCTATCATGTGGAAAGAAACATAAGAACTTTCCTTGCGATAAGGAAGTGTTTATGAAACTGATGCCTGAATACTTGTTGATGGCATTTCCCATGGCCATTCTCACCTGAAGAGCGTGTTTTTTTCGAATGATTTTAATCCATACACATATTTCCGTTTATTCAGTTTTCAAACACCTAAAAATAGCTTTTCTTCGTTTGAAAATTCCTTGTTAATTTCATTTTCCTGTTTATTTAAATAAAAAGTAATACTATCTTTTTTTAAACCACATTGGTTCTTTAAAATGTTATTTGATCACTTAATTATACACCTGTAAGGTACTAAAAAATACTTACAGATTTGGTTTCTCAGCAAATGACTAAGATATATATACTAATTAGGGTGTTGTTAAATTTCAACTAATTGGGCTATATTATTTATTTATTTATCTATTATTGAAAGATCAGTTCAATTAATATTATATCAAATACTACATGGAACAGCTTGTTAATACATGTATATTATCAAAAATATAAAACTTAAGAAAATTAAAGAGGTAACAAAAAATATATATGAATATTTATATGTCTGGGTAAGCATATGTGCTGCAGTTCCAACAGGTAAGATTTACAGGTAGATTCACTTGTTGAAACTCCGACACTTTTTAAGAAAAAGACTTTAATCCCTATCAAAACAAGTTGCCCTACAGGTAAATTAAAAGTGTATGTGTTCAGGGAATCAGCCGTCACCAGAATGGCAGACTTATTATAACCACTGCCTGTGCCAAGAACCGTAGTAAAAGTTCTTTCGAAAACTTATTTAATCAAAAGGACATAATTCTATAAATAGGGGAAGTAACTCAATTTTATATACTTTATTCACATCCTATTAATGCAACTGTTACATGTACCATGAAAGAACATGCTTTCTGTTGTTAAAGACATCCATCTGTATGACCTTAGGATATTAGATAGCTGTTTTACACATACATATGTAAGATGAGCAGCATTCAGTATAACTGGAGCATTATGTAAACAATACTCACCATTTTTTGACTCCATGTTGGCAAATTCTATCCACATATTCTGGGTCATAATCAAACTGCCATCTATAAATTTAAAGAAGATCTGTATACAATTTCCATATTAAACTGGATTTTTGGTCCAATAAAGGGCTTTAATGCATTTAATTCACATTTATAGGTATTATGATATAGTGCATTTCCAACAAAACTACACGTCACAAATAGATTAATGTTAACACTGCTATAAAGAACAGTAACAGATATTGAAAGTGTACCAATAAAATAAAAATACCATAATTTAGCGTAACACAATATGGATGGAACTAGCACAACAATATGACACAATAAATTGTGTACCTGACTTTGATTAGGAGGAAAAACAAATGTGTTGGATATCGAAGATAGTTATACACGGAAAAGGAGATTGATAGATAAATGTCTGGTATAAACAGATTTCTGGTTAAACAGGGTGTGGGTTAGGAAATAATCACTTACCATGTCTTACTGCCCCAGGGAAATTGTGGGAGCCAAGCTTTCTCCCACTCCCCTCTAACCTCCTCCTGCAATAGAAAATATACGTACTGTAAAATGTGATAAACATTAACGATACAGTTAACGTAAAAGATATAATGCTAAGGTATAATGTTACATCAAACATTAAATAATATTGTTATAAATATAATTATAGATTCTTTTCCCTCCCGACTCTCTTTTCAATATTCATGATGGTATGAAGACAAGTTTGTTTAAATATACATATTAAGTTTTACCAAGTAGCTCAGTAAACATTGAAAAAAATTCATTCATTCCCTATAACGAGGCACGGTAATCTAGTAGTAAGACACCCGGCTCCTGACCAAAGGGTTTGGGTTCGAGTCAAGGCACTGCACTGTGTTGTATCTTTGAGCAAAATACTTTACTCTGCTTGTTCTAGTCTACTCAGCTGTAAATGAGTATGTTGTTGGGCAGTGCTAGAATTGTTGAATGCTAGCTGTGAGCGACGGAATGGCAGCATCAGCTGTATGCTCCCCAGAGAGTTGTGAAAGATATTGGCTGAATGCAAAGGCCCTATTACCACGGATAATAATTTGTGAACCGCTTTGAGACGACCTACGAACTAGGTTGTGATGAAGCGGTATATAAGAACCTCAAATTAATATTATTATTATAACAAAATCTCACATGGCATCTGCATAGGTCTGCGGGTCAGCCATGTTGGTTGTTCGGGTTGTTATGGTCAGATTTTTACTCTAATCACATACTGGCCAGGTGTTCAACATCTTCATACTGGTCAATGGTCACCTCATCTTCAATCTACAATATAAATATTTCACCTATTAACGACTACAAATTAGTCAACCAATCCTCCAGACAACACAAAAAGAGGTTCAAACACACAAAATTTTATGGAAAGTGTACATGTACATGATTTAGGATAAGCATATATTTAGTACGATTCCTGTTGATTGCATTAATTTATCATTTTTTGTACAGGGCTCAAATTTTGGACATTTGCTATACATTTGAAAAAAAATAAAAATAAAAAAAAATCATACCAGTATTTGAGGAATATATAGTGTTATATGCATGTAAAGGTTATATAAATAAAAATACACTATTATCCAATACATGTATATGAAATCTTAATACAAATTCATTTATTAAATTTTTGTCAGATGTATTGAATTCTATCAGCTAAATGAAACTGATAATGGGAACACTGTGACAGATATCAAAAGTGATAATTACAAAATTGAATGGTTTTCCCATTGAATACCATATATATTAGTAACAGGAAAGAGAACAGTGTACTTCCACCAGGGATTGACCACCAGCTTTCCAGTCAGCTGGTCTACTGATGTAGCTAAAGGGAAATTCACAGCTAGCATAAAGCTAGAAGGCACCTGTAGATATCATATGTACAATAAAAACTGCAAAACTACTTCCTCCTTTTTAAATTCATACCCCCCTCAAATACCACAACAGCCTAGGTTCTAACTCCCTGTCACCACAGGAGGGCTGCTGACACCATTAATTGTAACAGAAAAGAGAGTAGGGGCTTCCACCGGGGATCAAACCTGTGACCCCAAGCTTCCAAATCCACTGCTTTACCGACTGAGCTACAGGAAAATTCCCTCTAGCACGAAGCTAGTTGGCAACCATAATCCTATTAATGTACAATTAAAATTTGCCACATTATATTAAACTCCTAAGAAATACCAGTATTATTGGGGTTTTTTTTAACCATACTCCTGCTTTTTAACTATACAATGCATATATGGGAAACCATTAAATGTCCCCAATATACTGCATATTTTGTTGTATTTGGAAGCAAATCAACACTAACAGTTCAAGCATGTAGATATCAATAATGATTTGAAGACGAATGAATGTATTCCTGTATAAAACAAGAGGCCCAGAGGGCCTGTATCGCTCACCTGGATATGTTTATGTACTTGATAGGAGGTAAAGATATAGCACTCTATAGTAGTTACTGTATGTACATATGAAATTTCTGAAAGATTCATCCAGTATTTCTGGAGATATAGCGAGCACAATCTTCAAATGACAAAATCCAAAATAGCGCCCTGGTGGCCTTCTTGTTTTAATGAATATACTTTAATAGTAACAGGCACTACTAGACAACTTGATGGAGACAAAATTGGGCTAAAACCCATAATCCCTATGGAAGAAGAAGGATTTTAAAAGCTTCACCTCTATTTCCCCTATTGGGCCCCGCTCCTCTGCATCAGGGGGGACCACACCCACCGTTTATACAAAATTGAGTGCTCTTGGCCTAAGGATGCTCCAGACCAGTTAAAATCCACTAAGCCGGCCGGGGTTTGATTCCCCGATCAGACGTGAATAGGTATGGGGTCACCTGCCCGACCACTTGGATTTTCTCCAGGTACTCCGGTTTCCTCCCACATTAAGACCCTCTGGCCGCTAACATTCGGGCCAACAAGAGTGATTGATAATATAAGTTGTAAAAACTTGTTTCATAATTGTTGTAATATAAATAAAGTTTATGTTATATATAAAAAAATAAGCCTAAATATTGTAGAGGGCCCATTTTCCTTTAGTATTTTATTTTTCATGTTCCTTGACGTGTTATTACAGAATATAGCCTTATCTTCTACCACATCTTAAAGTGGATAGGCAACATGTATGACACGACCACATGTTTCAATATTAAGTAAGAATTTCCAGCGACTCCAAGGTCTTAAACACACATTTTGATATGAATATGTGAATACATATGTAATAAGAAGAGAATAAGGCTAAAACAAAAATTATGTGTGTTATTCCGTCTTTGCGTATTGCAGAGTTATATAATTATCTTCTCTTGTGAGCATGTATTGATTGTTACGTTATTGGTTTGTTTGAGAAAAATTACACCGTTTTCTCAAAAATTGATGACGTTACTCTCACAACTAAGTGACGTAACAATGAATACCTGCTCCCAAGAGAAGATAACTCTGCAATATGCAAAGACGGAATAGGTCCGTAGGCATTTTTTTTTCTTGTTAATTTCTAATTTTTATTTTCTATGGATAAATATTATGCTTTTTATAATTTTACAATGTATTTCGAGACATTACAGCAGCTATTAAGCTGTCAAGAATGGGGTCAGACTCCTTAAACAGGTAAAAAATTAGTACATTATAATGAGTGACTCAGTGAATGTGCCTAGCTGAATAATAAACTAATTTTAGATACAAGTAGGTGAAAAAATGTTCTAGGCTCAGCAGGACAATCTAAGGTAGGTTTATCAGGAAAACCGAAACCCACATAATATTATTTTTTTTGCCTTATGTCCTTCCACTGGAGATCGACCCACTGCTTCTCAGAGCTTGCCACGATGCGAGTTAAAGGAGAAATCCCTCTGGCATGAAATATTAGAAGGCAACTGCAATCTTATATCATACTTGCCAACTCTCCCGATTTTGGACCCTAAAATTGAGCATTTTCAACCAGTGAATATGCTAAACTATTCCTAGTATTCTAACATCTAATGATTTCATCTGAAAGAACAGCTCTAAGATGCCATTTAAAAGTGTTGATTTTCCCCTTAATGATGTATATACACACATTTTATTTATGCTTTTAATTTTGAGCACGTGTAAAACAATCTCCCCGATGGAAATTTCAAAATGTTGGCAAGTATGTCATATTATATCACGGAATTTAGATATCTAATCTAATTCTGTGGTATTATCAGAATTTGCTTATCTGAACTGTAACAAAACCAGAGGGAGTCAGTAACTTGGTGGTACCAAATAGAAATTCCTCTCGATTGTAGTTGTGATTGGGATGGTATTCATGTGATTGACACTTTTAAAAGTGGGTGACTTTTTGGGTGACTTTTTCTGTGAACAGATCAAAGAATGTCCAAGTTTCACTAAACAGGGTGTTGGAAGGGCTACATTAAATGTAGATTTACAATGAATTATTCCCAGTACATATTTATATGTTAACATGTATGTCTGTCAATATCAGCAACACCCTATAGAGTCTGGTTGAGTCTGGCTGAACATACACATTACTAGTCTGCTAAAACTGACCATCATCGCAGGCTCAACAATTCTGATTGGTTGCCAGCTGTTTACCGATCAGAACTTTTGAGCCTGCAATTATGATCATTTTTAGCAGACTAACATTAATTACACACAGGTCCATGCCTATATTAGATATGTTTTAATGAAAAAGTATAAAGTCTGAAGTCTGATTTTGTCGATGTCCATTCCGGGGTACCCCAGGGGTCAGTTTTGGGACCCACTTTATTTCTTTACTTTATAAACAATATCCCTGTGGGTCTAAATGCTACAATCCGTTTATTTGCAGATGACACTATTGCATATCTAGTTATCAAGTCAAACAGTGATGCTGAAACACTTCAAAAAGATCTTGACAAACTAGCGCTCTGGGAAAATACATGGAAAATGATCTTCCACCAAAACAAATCCAATGTGTTGTCGGTGACTAAAAACAAAACTCTAATAGTCCATAATTATACTTTACATGGACACATACTGGAACATCTTAGTCAGGCCAAGTATCTGGGTGTAACACTATCATCTGACCTTAAATGGGATTCACATATAAATACTATCTGCCCAAAAGCAAATTCTACGCTAGGCTTTTTAAGACGAAATCTTAAAATTGGCTCAACATCAGCCAAAGTACAGGCATACAAATCATTAGTTCGACCATCACTTGAGTATGCCTGTACAGTATGGGACCCTCACACCCAAACAAATATTGACAAGTTGGAAATGGTCCAGCGAAGGGCAGCGCGCTATGTGCTCAATAAGCACAGGTACAACCATCGTACCTCCAGTGTGTCAGAAATGTTGGACCACCTAAAGCTGCGCCCTCTAGCAGATAGACGTAGAGATGCTCGTCTGACCATGCTTCATAACACTGTAAACCAGAAAGTCGCTATCGTAAAATCAGATAGATTAATCCCTACAGTTAGAAAATCCCGAACAAACCACCAGTTTTCGTATCAAATTCCCCACTCAAAAACCCAGACCAGAAAGGCATCATTCTTCCCTCGAACTATACCCGAGTGGAATAAACTCCCACCTGACATTACTTTATATTCTGCCAAACTTGGCTAAGTAGATGAACTAATATAGTCACCATATGATGACACACGTAGCATTAATGGCGGGAGCAAACCAATCTGATATAAAACGTTAGGTGTTAAAAGCATTTCCTATTACTGTTGACTGGAGTTAAGCTGTCGCTCCTACCTCTGTTTCGCATCCAAATGTCATCTCGTGGATTTATCATGTATGCTATGTAGTGTCAGGCGGAACGCTTATTACATAAGCCTGACGTCTCTTTCCCGGAAATCCAGAAATGTCCAGTATACAGTATCTGCCCATGTGCAGCATTTTTATTGTTTCATTTCGAAGAAATCCCTTAAAAATAGCCATAGCTTAAGTTTTACTTACCTTTTAAAAGTACATGCAATTAAACTTGACATCACATTTGGGGAACTTCGAGAAGGATTTACTATCTTATATAAGCAACCACGAACTGTCTAGTAGAAAACTCACGTGCCTATTACTGCAGGGTGTAACTGTTGGATGTTGGGGAAACCCATTCTATTTTTAGATGGTTTTAGATAGGGGACATAACTTGGTATTCTTGTCACGCTGAATCGAAGGAATAACACTAGAGAAATTCACAGTTAGTTTCTGTAACGAGGCGGATCCAAGGGGGTGTCTCCGATGCCCCCTGTCCTTGTACCTGTATGGTCAGTGGTTCGTAGTAGCCACAGGGCACATGTTTAACAGTTTTGACTAAAGATTTTTTTTTTCAAATACGTTATAATTGATAACCAAAATTATAGTAATATATTGATTTCTCATTTCACTGGGACATTTTACGAAGGAAAACCAAGAGCTTAATAAAAAAAAAAGCTTAAGAGAGACCCTTGAAAAGGGCCAAAAACTGGTATCTTACCTTAATTTTGTGCAACATGACATGGTCAGACCACATGCGTAGTAGAACAAACCGAAAATCTGGAATGGTGACAGTGCAGACACCCCCTAAAAAATTCTGGATCCGCCCCTGCTGTGTCTGTATAATAATGGAATAACCTCGATATCGAGTATATTTCCAGGGTTGGAGGAGTACGCATTGGATTTAATTTATTGGCAATAAATTAAAGTTTTAACGGTTTTTAAGTCAGTTGTTTTGACCAGATATTCTGGGAGGTTGTTCCAATCAGTGATGGTACGAGTTTGATTTCATATTGGATGTAAATGTAGGCTTCTTTCCTATTCCCTCACATTATTTACCTGTATTACAACGGTGTTTTCGCCTGTGGTTAACTGTTCTATTCAAGTCATTGTAGAAGAAAGCGCGTTATGTGGGGACGGAGTCAGATTGTAACTTAAACCGGGTCCGGGGTCAGTTTTCAACGTTGAAAATGGAACCAGGAAGCCTTGGATAAAGGAGCCTAACTCAAAATTATTTCTACATGTACATTTTGTACATACCAGTTGCAAATGGACCTCGCTGAAAAGTGAACAATATACGGATCATTGATATGTTCACGTGATTTAAAATATCCACTTAAATTTTACTTACAGACATGAGGTCATGTGACCTATTTCTCAAAATTTAACCTTTACTAAAAAAACTATTGAGTTTAAAAAAGTACCTAATATGGATGTTTGACATAATTAAAACACTGTGACTAAGTTTTCAATATTTCACCAAGACATCTACATTATAAAAAATATTATCTGGTACAGAAATTAACACTTAAAAGTTGGTTGACAATATTAGGTAACTGTGACCTAATTTTCAAAGTTTGACCTACATCATAAAAATGTTATCGGGTTCAGGAATTCACACCAAACCGTTGGAAGACAAAATTTGGTCACATTGGCTTTGTTTTACAGATTTGACCTACATAATCAGAAATGGTCATTGGGATCATAATTAACATTTAACCGTTGTTTCAGTGACAAACTTAGGTCACTGTAAGCTAGTTTTTACAATTTGACATACATTATAAAGAATTGTCAACGGTTCAGGAATTAACAATCTGTTAATACTGAGTAGACAAAACCAGGTCACAGTGACCTAATTTGGTGGAACAACATTTCTAAGTTCATTTCTGAACCCAAATGACAATTTTAAGTAATGCAGGTCAATTTTCAAAAGTAAGTTACAGTGACCTTATAGGGTAAAACAGAATTATATGCATATTTCTGAACCCCATAATAATTTCTGTTAATGAAGGTAAAACATTTAGAAGTTGGTCACAATGACCTGATTCGGTCAGACGATGGACTCCGAGGTATATGTACGACATTATATCACTCCGACCAAGGTGAGCTAATTTATATATATAATGTCACTAGGAATTTGATAAGGTTCTGTTTTCCAAGGTAAATTTCAACGGGCTACGCGTCCGAAAATTGGCCTCGTACGGGTTCCATTTTTGAACGGGAGATTCAATTTTTTAGGGCTCCCGGTTCCATTTTCCACGGGGGTTCATTTTCAATGTTACCGTCTAACCTAGTCCCCGACACCCCCGGGGTCGAACTTGTCCCTGTCCCCGCTAACGCTGCTCTCGTAAGTAAGTCGATAAGGAATATTGTTTCGTGTTCGAAGGTTCAGGGTCCGAATACCGATGTTTTTCAGTTCAAGATGTTTTATTAGTTGGTTCAAACGAAGGATTCAATATGATGAGGTATAACATATATAAGTCTATATAAGTCTTCTCCCATTCCGGTTACAGCAACTTATATATATACTTACACATGATGCATTCTTACACATACATAAACACTAATTACACACAGATACACCACCCACATAACCCTATGTACCTTTTCATATATATTGATATAAACCATTATAGATGATATGTATTATTTATCTAACCCTAACTGACAACCCTAATTAAATACACATGATATATACAGTACTTACACACGTACACAAGTCAACACAAACACACTGATACGCCTCTCGCACAACTGAAAATAGACATACACACATAATGACACATACCTATAATTGTCTGTGATATATACATACATGACTGCTGGCAATGCAACTAGCACAGATGTAAAGTAAATTAGTTATACACATATAATAGTTTGAAAGGTAAAGCTATAAATAGACCAATTTACAATTAAAATATTACATAGGTGTTCGTAGAGATAATAAGATGTACATAAATCATGATTAGGCCAACATAGGTATACAAAATATACTGAATATTCTAGCTATAATAACCATATTTGTTAGTACACGTACTAAAGCTAAATATTGATTCATTAACTAATGTTAATTGATTATCATTATTCACGGGAAAGTAAATTACTATTTTAGTTAAAAAAAAAAATGCTAAAATGTAGCCAATTCTATTAAATATTAAAAATAGATAATGACGGAGATAATTTTAGAGAGGACAAAAAGGAAGTAATGAAGAATATCCCGAGTTCGGAAGTGACTCCCTAGATGTTGCTATTTTTACTCTCCTAATAAAGAACTCTGTAGTTGACCTTTTTGTTCATCTCATTTTCATTATTTACTCGTAAATGAAGGAAATTCGCATATCCTCTTTTCTTCACGCCTATTTTTGTAATAGTTATCGGAAAACAATCTATTCAATGCGCTCTCACAATTTTAGGGACAAAACTGTTTAAAAATTTCCTCCTAATGCAATAATGTTGACTGTTGTATTTTCATGTGACATATCTCTTATAAAACATCGTGAACGTTAAAGGTGAAGTCTTGTCAGAGAAAAAGCTTTCTCTTACGCTGGACAGGGGTATCCTTCTGGGTGAGATTGGGGAATATCAACCATCGGAAAAAGAATCTTAAGTTGCTAAACAATCGGCAAAGCCTCGTGTTTGGCAACTTAAGAATATTCCCCCTCGGGTTGAGATTCCCCTTTCTCACCCACAAAAAACCTTTGGAAATTAAAGGATTTTACAAATAACTCAAGCTACAATGCATATCAATAGCCTGGTCGATACTGTTATATTTCGATCAGTCATATGTACAAGTTGTTAGAACTGATCTCCATAACTCTTATGGAGATAGGAGAGTAGAGGTAAAGGGATGGGACAACTGCCCCTCCCAAAACCGCGGGAAAACATGTCCGCCACCCCACCCTAAAGCCGCGGGAAAACACTGCCACCACAAAACCGCCGAGACACCACTAAATAAACTTGAAACATTTCAATAAAACACGAGACCGAAAACCATCGCCAATGTTTACCTAAGACGAAAAAACAATAAACCTAACACAAGCACATCGACCATCAAATACAATAAAAATTATCAATAATACCATTCGATCAAAACCCAAAACGTACGACAGCGTTTCAGGTGGCGATTTAAATGTGCGGGTTAGTGGATTATTAAATTTCCAGTTTATTTCTACCTAGGGAACAGTATTTATACTGTTCCCCCTTTTCAACCAAATGTAAGACTTTTTCCCGTCTTCATTGACATACACAGCACAATACCACCTGCTATGTTTGCTTATCCAACCCGGTCAGTCTTTTGTTTGATACACGCATTTGTATACACAATTGAAGTGTCTCAGATAAGGTGAAGGCGTTAGAGACTAAATATCTAGATTTTCATCCCTTCCCGTTTTTTTTCCAAAGGCCTATAAGGCCCTTTTTTCACCTCTTTAATTTGCTCAAAGATGTCTTATTGCATCACATGCGCAAAAAGTAAGGCAACAGTTTGATCGAAAGTGGATTTTGGGGTTACCAAAGGGGGTAGGGTAAATCACATATTATAATTTGCTGTTTTCAAAATGTGCAAAAACAACCAAAACAATACATTTTTTGTTTTGGTAAACATGCATAAATCAAACAGCTATATATAAAAGAATGAAAAATGACAGAAATTAAATCGTTACTAGATGATTGTTTTTATAAAACATAGGATTATGTTAGGGTGATGTTTTAGGTAATTTTCAAATGAAAATTGTTTTGTTTTCTCAATATTTCCCTTTCTTATATATATTTTGAGTTAAAATTTACAAGTTTACCCATTTGAGTACACTTACATAAAATACATATTCACACACACTTCCCTTTTGTTTTATATTGAGTTATAGCTTATGAGGTGCAGGACACTCTTTATATGCTATAAGATATCAATAGTTAATATTGTATGTTATATATACAAATGTATCATATAATATCTGCTCGACACCTGTGGATGAAGTGAGTTCCTGGTCCTGATTTTTTTTATTACTGATCAAAATTAACTTACAATTTTGTACTTACAAAAAATGGCATTGCCACCGTAACTACTGTAAAATGATTTATTTAATCAATGAAGTTTGATTTGCTGGTACTTTTAAGTC